CACAAACTATCGACACACACACACACAAACTATCCACACACACCACACAAACTATCCACACACACACAAACCACACAAACTATCGACACACACACACACACACACACACACACACACACACACACAAACCACACAAACTATGGACACACACACACACAAACTATGGACACACACACACACACACACACAAACTATGGACACACACACTCACCGTCTGCCCCGTCCTCTCGCTCTGAGCTGTCCACTTCCTCCTCCCCAGAAGAGTGAGACTTCTGTAACCATGACAACATGAACTATAAATAACACCACAGAGGAGTGAGACTTCTGTAACCATGACAACATGAACTATAAATAACACCACAGAGGAGTGAGACTTCTGTAACCATGACAACATGAACTAGAAATAACACCACAGAGGAGTGAGACTTCTGTAACCATGACAACATGAACTATAAATAACACCACAGAGGAGTGAGACTTCTGTAACCATGACAACATGAACTATAAATAACACCCAGCATTCTAGAACGTGAACTATAATTGGTCGCTTTTAAGGACAAGCGGGCTAACCCAGATCTTGGAAGTTTCCAGAAATCTTGACCTACCCCAAAAAGTGGGCATCGCCCTACCTATAGGAGAAGTTTGGTTTCATTGGTGTGTATATTTGTTTGGTTACAGTGAGGGATACAACATCGCAGGAGACAGACAGAGAGGGATACAACATCCCAGCAGACAGACAGAGAGGGATACAACATCCCAGCAGACAGACAGAGAGGGATACAACATCCCAGCAGAGACACAGAGAGGGATACAAACTCTCCTTCTCCTTTAAAGAAACTGAACAAGGGGCAAAAACTTTACCTTCGATTTTCACAAAAACAGCATTTTTCGGGATAGCCCCCTTGTGCTTAAAAGCGACCAAGTAACACCAATCTTTCTAAAGTGTGAACTATAAATAACACCAATCATTCTAGAACCATGACTCATCAGCAATTTCTTCGTGTGTACTCAGTCCAAAATTTTGAATTTTTGTTTTATTGCCGTCTCTCAATCTGTGATTTCCATTGCAGGTGTTTGAGAAATATTTTGTCGAAATTCAAATTCTATATTTTGGAGGAAAAAAAACAAGAAAAAAATACATAAAGTTTGTTGTTAAAACAATGAAACAATTTTTTCTCTCCCCTGAAAAATATTGCTTTAAGGGCTTGTTACATTGTAACAGCTTGCACCATAAATAGAAACACTTGCACTATAAATAACATCACTTGCATTATAAAAAGCATCACTTGCACTATAAATATAATCATCTACACCTAAACAATAGAGGAGAAATGACGATGTTCTTATTTTTACTCAAACAAACACGAACAAACAAACAAACAAACAAACAAACAGACAAACATCCGACCGTGACGTCCGTGTGTGGGATCTGGGAGAGCTGAGCCCGCCACACGTGGGCCGTCCCGTCGCCCGAGGCGGTCAGCACCAGGTCCTGGGTCGGGTGGAAGCGAACCGAGTTGACTGAGCCGCGGTGACCCGTGTACTGCAGCAGGCACGAGCCGCTCTCGATGGAGTAGATGCGGGCGCTGTGATCTGGAATGATAAATAGACATTAAAAAAAGAATGAACTGATGATTTCATTACGCAATATTTTAATAAATGTAATGGAAAAGCAATAGAAAACTCAAGGATAAATATAATGGAAAAGCAATAGAAAACTCAAGGATAAATATAATGGAAAAGCAATAGAAAACTCAAGGATAAATATAATGGAAAAGCAATAGAAAACTCAAGGATAAATCCCAAGTACTGGACTCACAATCAAATTTTATATTTCCTGAATCATAACTGCTCAGAGGAGAATGATAATAATAGTCATGAAAATAATCGTAAGTATCACTTCTATAGTGCCCACTCATTAATGGCTCCAAGGCACGTCACAATAAAATAGAATCTTAATCAACATTTGACACACACTCACCCATTCAAGGTATAACAATCCTTTCAAATACATACACTAGTAATCTGACAAATACACAAAAAGTGGGTTGGGGGGGGGGGGTATACTTTGCTTTTACCAGATAGGCTAACTAATACTCATGGAAAACGCTGTCAACAAAAGGAAGCGCAACCTGCCACCGTGGGCGCAGCAAGGAAAACCTACCGACCGCCGCTGTGGCCATGACCTGATTGCTCTGTGACCTCGACACGCTGACCTCCCACACGCCGTCGCGATGACCCCGGTACTCTCGGACCAGACTGTAGGCGGTGCTGGGTGCGCGGAAGCTGGACACGAGCTTGCTGGTCGACTGTTTGTAGGTCGTCTTGATGCGCTGGGACAGCTGGGGCTCTGGCAGACCAGACGGAGGGTGGAGTAAGGGTAAAGAGAAACACTTCTACACAGCGCTGGTCACATAGTGCAAGATAAATGACAAGTTAGAGTTGGAGGTTCAGTAAAGAGATACACATCTAAACCATACTGGTCACATAGTGGAGGGAAAAAGCAAGACAGACAGACAGACAGACAGACAGACAGACAGACAGACAGACAGACAGACAGACAGACAGACAGACAGACAGACAGACAGAAATGACAGAGCCAGAGAAAAGCAAGACAGACAACAACAAAAACAGAGGGAGAGAAAACCAAGACAGATAGACAGAAATAACAGATCAAGAGAAAAGCAAGACAAACGACAAAAGATAACAGGGGGAGAGAAATAAAAGGCAGATAGACAGAAATGACAGAAGGAAAAAAAAGAAGCAGCCCCCCCCAGGGGCTGCGTTGCAGGGTGTTTTTAACTTTGGATTTCAAGAAAGGTATAAGAACGATCTATTTCTTATCTTTTTACATAGCCCTACCTCCCCGTGTAAGAATTTATAATGATAATTTTCCTGATTTTGTTTGTTTGTTGTTTCTTTCTTTCTTTATAATACTAGAGGACGCACGCAAGGAGCCCCCCCCCCCCAGGCCATACCATAGCAAGTAATCTCACATAGCCCAGACACGTTGATGTCGTGTCTTTCCTCGCATACTGTGTATCGACCATGCATCAATCATATACTCCGCCATTTGCTGAACATGGCAGTGATTGCAGAAAGTGAGAGAAAATAAAGATTCTATAACTATAATATACTTAACTATATCGTAGTACTTGT